ATCGCAACATACCGCCCGCCACCGCCCAACCATCCATTTACACCAGACTGGCTTATGAAAATAATGTCGCAACTATCCGCTCCGATACTGACCTTCGGACGACCGCAGTCCTCAGATTAAAAAGTCAATAGCTCACCATCTCGTATTTAAAATTAATTATTGCCAATGCTTGTGGTCACGAAATTCCATCTGCGGCGTTGCCCGTCCACCACTCATTTGTGGGGATTCCTCGCAAAAATTATATCGTGATTTTTCGTTACAATAATCCTACATAGCATTTCTGTAAAATGCGGAAGGCTTCGATCATCCGGGGTGACTGACCAAGCTGCCTTGAAATTCGAATTAAAGATCTTTCCATTAAAATAGTCCTTTTTGTCCGATACGTAGGTTAATATTTCGACTTCCCACTTATACAGCTTGTTTCTTAAAGTTGGTAATTCAAAACCATTGTCAAATTGCATTACAATGAATTGGTGTAATGAATTATAGAATAGAAACCACAACACATTCAGAATTAAGTTGGTGTGAAATCGTAGAGATTTTTCTGGTAAATTATTCATGTGGCTCACGTTGTTAGGTTGACTTTCGACTCGCTCATGGGAAAGCCTTTCACTCTTATTATGGGAGTTGCATATTTTGGAATTGTAAAATCATGTTAATTATGGTGAAATATTTAAAATTGATTATGTTGTTACATTTTTCGATCCTTTTTACCGTCCTTATGAATGTTATCATATAATTAAAATTAACAATCTGATAAGATTACGTTTTTCGTAATTCTTTATCTTCTAACTAAAACATAAATTCGTCAAGGTTTTTTGGCAATCAGCAAATAGATTTGCTATAATTAAATAATGATAATATATATGAGGATAATTGTTTAATTTATATTTAGTATTGTTCATGTTGGAATTTAGTGAGTAGCATCGCTAACGTTTCGTGCGAATCGCTGCGCGGGCGCATGCGTGTAACGGATGCGTTTTTAGTCCGGTTAGCTGACAGAGCGTCGGGCCGGAAAGTGTGTTAACGCGTGCGCATTTTGCGCAACCAACCGCATACGATATGCGCCATCACCCACTCCCGTTCGGCGTCCCGTTGTTATCCATCGTATTTGTAACTCAAGTCGTAATATGTAATAGATCTTGTGAAAAACGCTCAGTTGCGGTTAACGGTAATATTAACATATTCAGTTTGCATAAGCCCTGAACGAGTCAATATTTATGAGGAAAATTTTATTTAATATTAACGTCATCAAGTGGGGCATTTTTTAATGTCAGATGACGTTGTGCACGGATATTTTCCAGTCATGCCGTTTTATGGAAATACGTATAGCGTCACCATCTGACCGCTTTCACATTGCGTTATCTTGCTTTTGCTTGCTCTCAAAGGTCAGGCTCGCACTTTACTAGTACGCTGTAGATTAAAAATCAGTGGCGACAAATTATTCTATTAAAAAAAAAAGAAAAATTCCAGTAGAGCTAGATGCATATTAATCTTCATCGAATGCGTCTTATGAAGGTAGTATTAACAAGCATTAGTTTTGAATGCTTCTAATTATTGTCCACTTGATTAGTAGAGAATGTCTGATGGCTTTAAGTCCGTCATTTTCATTGTACAGTGAAGCAAATAAATAATGTAAATATGAGCCATCGCACACTACGCGCTGTATTGTTACAATCCTTATGTCGCCTGTAATTCACATGCTAGTGTAAAGAAATTTATGCTCTTGCGGCCCGGATTGATCTACTGGCAGCATTATATTATATATTTCAACATTGACATCGAAATTGAAATTGACTGACCGTCGTTCTCTACATATAAAATGAAACAATTTGAAATAAAGTTCAGCTTTCGATTATAAGAAATAGTGTTATGAAATAGATTACCAGGCCGCAACTTGTCATGATATTGAAACTACGTTAATGACTGGATCGATATATATAGAGTCCCACGATTGTGCCGCGTTCTCTATTTATCGATAGTCTATCTAGGTGAGTGTTGCTGGTTAAATGTGGGCTAACAGGTGTCCAGTGTATTAATGAGAATCGAGTCATCGGTTCCGGATTGACTGTCGTCGTATTGGATATAACGTTTACTGGATACGTTATATAATTACAAATAATATGAAAAGTATCGTTATACAAAATCTTAGTTCCGTATCTTACAAAATTGGTTATGTAGGTATTGTTGTCTAAATTATTTACGGTTACAGATTCTGGATATGTAAGTAATGCCTCATAATTCCCCGTAGGTAGACATCTCGTATCATTACTTTGTTAACCTCTTCTCAATGGAGTTTATATTTTTAGTTATTTTTTGCCACTGTGTTAGCTACTAGGGGTTTTATATTAGTAATAGAATGTCGTCATACGATATCAGTGGTAACTAACATAAATAAATGTATTCTAACAAAGTTTAAAAACCGAATACTAATTATTAACACGCTATGATTACGTGAATGAGTTAAATTGAGGCCCTGGTCAACTATCAAGTATATGTAAATAGTAACCTAGAGGAAGACGAGCGAAACGAACGTCGAGGTAGTGGGTGCTAGTAGGCGTGCGATTGAAAACCCCGTCGCTTTGCGCCCGCACCTCGGAAGCGGCATTAGTATGCGGCCGGACACCGCATCACAACTTTCTCGACATTCTTAGCGACACCACGATAGTTGAATGCCGTTGTTGTAAAACTAACTATTGCTCATATGTAATTTATTTAATAAAAGCTAGATATCGTTTGTTAGGCACATTGTAATATGTGGATTTAAAGCGGATTGTTTTTAATTCGTTCGCTCAATTTATTTTATTTTATATAGCAGAAATTATAACTTATTTGCTATCTAAAAATTTTACATACAAACTGGATTGAAACGTCGGTTCGGTGCATCTCTGACAGAAGGTACTTTTGAACTGACAAAATATATGAAATTACATTAAATCTTGCTAACTTGTTTAGTGCGTTCCATTTGTGATGGCGTAGGTTAACTGAATTTTAATTATTGACCATAAATATTATGTGGTTCGTTCGTACTTCGAAAGGTATATCATACAAAAAAAGTAGGTCTCGACTGCTTGAGACAATTTGGCTCGCGTAGGGAATTTTACTAGTTATACCAATACGAACGCCTGTGCCACACAGCAAGGAGCTCAAACCGGACTTTCGATGAACTCTTGTGACATTGAGCAGTATAAATTTCCTTACAGTTTCCTAGAAGGTAGGTATTAACTTTCATGATTGGATTAGTATTTACAAAGATTACCCCTTACAAAGAAACAAATAAAGTACGAAGGTTTACCTCTTTATAATATTAGTAGGTATAGATTTTTGCTTCTTATACTAATTTTACTTAGTTATTTAATTGACACATCTTTGTACTTCAATTAGTTCCTTAGATTAAGTTTGTAGGTACGAGTATAAACGTTTTATTGGTGTTGTATATTAGAAGCAAAAACACGTTAATTTAACTCAATTTGACGTGGTCAAATACAAAGTTGTCGTCATTGAACTGAATTTTCAAATGTGTCTATGTTGTGCCCGTTCTTAACAAATATTTGTCGTGATCACAAAAATATTTGATGTAGCTAAAAACCAAACTTAGTTTTTATTAGTTTTTTATACTTTATAAATCTCTGGTTGTTATATTTCACACTGAAGTTACACACTAAGATTATCCGATGAATGTTATAGCCTTGTTATAGCCTTTGTGAAAATGCTTAGAACTTGTGAATTCCCAGGCGCATTGTTGAAATTATTATGGCCTTAATATTCTACAGCTTAATGTACGATATAAAAGTGAATTTTTAAATGTTTTAACAACCTTATGCAGAAATGTTATCATGTGGTTCTCATTGTTCATTAAAGTATTTAAAATATGAGTTAGATCTTATAAGAAAGCCTGGAAGTAGAGTGTATGAAATTTGACTAAAGAATAGTTAAGTTTCTTATGACGTAGAGATGCTTCAACTGTACAAACCTGGTCCAGAGCGAATGTGACTCGCGCACTGAGTATTCCCGACAAATATTATAAACAAATTTATCTTTTCTGATAGATTTTTCTCTAATCTATAGGGAAAAAATATCAAGTAGATAATAGAGGGAAATTTTCCTTCTTGAATAACTTTAAAACTTTATCAGGAAGTTGAGTGAATTATAAAAAATATGAGATTACGGCCTTTTTTAATTTTTCAATGTACTCCCATATATATTGACGTTAGAAGACATCTATGTATTACAAACTTACCAAATTTCAATTCAACCAGTCGAGTAGTTACGGAGAAAATCAGTTGTAACAGACGCATGAACAGATAAAAACGGAATCAGGGGTTCGATTTTATTTTGGAGGTGAAGATCCTTACAAACAAATATGACATTAAATAAAAGCAAAAACTAGCAATTGACATGGAATTTCATTTAATGCGAATCGTGAAGAGGTCACCGGATTGTAGATTGGATCCTCACTTTTTTATTGCACAATGAATTGCAAAAACCAATGACATTGAATTTTAAATTGTCTGTGTTCTGTCTCTTAATCTGCCAAGTGTCTAAGCCTAATTTACAATATCTATGTAATTTGTAATCAATAACTATTTAAATTCAAAAAACGACTAAGAGCTATCAAAACAAAAAATATGTATATACGCGTCAACTACAGCACCTCTTGTTTTTTTGTCGAATTAAAATTCACCTTCTTTATTTACCTACAAGTACACAAATTTTGAAATCGGATTTATAAATTTATTTTTAATAAAATTTATATAAGTCTTTTAAAAATTATAACATTTCGGTTCCTTTACATTTACCGTGTTCAGTAGACGTCTTTTATTTTTATAGTCATAAAAGTTTATATACTCTTCATTTCAATCCCTAGAGTACAGTATTTATTTTGTTTTGGACGATTCAAAAGTGCTTGTAATAGCCTACTTGAATAAAGATATTTTCATTTCATTACATTTCATTTATATATACCTATAGATGCTGATTTAGTTGTGTATTGGTTTCAGGTAGCGATGGCCGGCGACTTCATCCTCGCCGTGGCGTCGATGATGATAGCTCGCTTGCGCAGCGATGAAGTCACACTTGTGCTCAGCCAGGTAAGATCTCCCGCGGGTAATAAATACAGTTTGCGTCTACAATTAGTCTTCCAAGAATAGCTACTTAATAGTTATAGGTACTGTCTTCACATATTATGATTTAAAGTGTATCAATAGCAAAACTGTATCAAAATATCAAGGAAAAAACAAATATAATAAAAAATAGTTTTTCTGTATTGTGCTAATATGTAATAGTGATGATCTTGAATGAAAACAACTGCTTAGTGAAACTAATGGCAAAGATACCTGATATAAACTGTAGTTTATAAAAAAAAAACAGTAAAACGTTAACATGTACATTGTCCTACCTTTAATGGATTAAGTTTCAAGTCTGCATTTTAAATACATTATTTAATAGATATCATATATTATAACAAAAAACTAGATGCAGCCTAGTGTATTTAATATAATTTGTGAAACATACTTGTTAGTTCGATTGTTTTTTACTATAAAGCGACTGTTATATTAGTTGTAGTTATATTTATTATAAAGCGACTAGTGCCGCGGCATTCACACTTTTGATTTTGATTACAGTAATAGGTTAACCCTTAGATCGTATTTTTTGTTACTATGTCTGTACTACGACGTTGCCGTTCTTCGGATTTTAGCCTTTCTTTGTAAGGCTAACAAAGGCTAATAAATCATTTCATCATACGCGATAATTGGACGACGTTCGTTCCGTTTCTTGTGATTATCTAAGTAAAAACGTCAAAAACAAGTAGATAAATTTTCGTATTAAGCTTTCTTTTACTATTTAAGACGACAAATGGCAAAGATTAATCTATCGCGTTATAGAATGTTATCGTGATTAGATGTTTGTACGTATGTCATTTGTGAAACTTGGTCTTGTATTAAGACTGGGATTCTATCATTCCAGGTGGTGACAGATCTAGTTCAAGGCGAGTTTATGCAGCTCGGCAGCAAGGAGACCGAAAACGAACGATTCGCGCACTACCTCACCAAGACTTACAGAAAAACAGCCTCGCTCATAGCTAATTCAGTAAAAGCGGTATGTTTTTGTTTTAAATTAGATGATTTTTACACTTTATCTTTTTAGAATCTGTAAAGAATATATAATGTAATAATTAAATAGAATCGATTCGAATAGGAGCCTAAAGATCGATTTGGAAAAATGTCGATGTATCAAAAATCTATCTATTCTCCTAGTTGTAGACAAACCTTTCTATCTAAATTATTTGGGTATTATCGAAATTTTACATTAAGGAAATGGTAAACTGATATTAATTCTGTTTTCTCAGTTGAGGAGGAAAATAAAAGATAAATTCTTTATAGACAACAGTAAAAATCGATTTTTGATAAAATCGAAGCGAGATCAACATCTCCAATGGTGATTAATTGAATGGCTTAGTAGTATTAGGACTTCAGGGATTTACGACCTGCCCTTGCCTAAAGGTCCGTCTTTTGCAAAATTCACCGTATAACGTGTAATTAGTACCATAATGACGAAGTATAAAAAAAACGGAAGCATTAAAAAAGCACCTCCACTAGATGGTGACTCTAGCAAAATTTGATTTTTGCCGGAAACGAATGGACCAAAGACATTTCCTTTCCTTTCCTTTTAACTAACATATTAAAAAACTGAAATTTGAAAAAGAAACTTAGATATCAATACAAATACGAAAAAGTACAAATAGAATATGAGTTGTTTATTGAGTTTTGACAACTAATTTACTTTTAAACTTGAAAGAAAATTGGAAAGATTGTCATGGAGAAATTAAAAACGTACCGTAGCGACATCTAGTTTGATTTCAGGAACTAACGTTTTTTTTAATACTTCCTCATTATCAAAGTGAATAGAGGTTTATGTATGTATGTGAGTTTCTTTATTCCATCACTTTTTTCTTTATTTTGAAAGATTAAAAGGCAAAAATGTATAGGGATTCACTACAAATGATACATCGTCCCGAGTGACACTGGCTATTATATAATTATATTTATTAATGTTCAATATGGCGTCATTTTAAATTATATAGAAAAATAATATTTCAACAATATGTGTATCAAATTAAAGTAAAAAAAGGTGAGTACACTCAAAAATAGCATTTGAACACATAATTAAATGCTCTTTAAAAGGAATAAAATAAAAATAAATAATTAAAAACACACATGACTGCCAAAATCGGACTAAAAATATAAGAAACAAAAATCTCATTACAGTCGGGGAACCGTCCCGTGGGACATTTGTAATCTAAGAGATTCCCCAACTGCAATGAGAATTTTGTTTAGCCAAGCAATAATACAACTTGTTTCTCTTATTTTTAATTAGCATTTAGCATTAGCAGTAGCAGTCGTGCTCTTTAAATTATAAAAGATCATCACCTTAAAATCTATGATAATATTTTTAGTCACGTATAAAAATGAATTTATAATGAAATATATCAGTCGTTATTTTTAAATAACATTCGTAAGTTAAATATTACGTGTGTATCATAAATAATGATAGTAAAAGGGAAATCCCGTGCGTTTCCTTGTCCCGTTGATTTTACGTGATGGCATTTTGATATTATTCCAAAGCTCAAAAAAATTTTATTATTGAAACATCTTCAGGTTTTTTACTTTTTGTGAATGTTACTCACGTTGGTTGAATGAAAATTTTAAATCTCGTCCTTTTTTATGTAGTTATGCAAACCGCATCCAACCCACATGTTTTTACAATATTAAATTACGAAAACATTATTTTAACCTCATTATAAGTGAACATGTCAATTCTTATGAGAATAATCATCTTTATACCTAAATCTGTCAAAATCGAGTTATATATGCAGACAAGCTTAAAAATAACCTTTATAGGTCCTAAACACTGCAAACGGTAAACAATAGGCGTATAAAAGAGAGATACATAAGGTAAAGAATCTCGAAAAATATATTTCAACCCCAAGATTTTAACCATCTTGGGGTTACGCTAAACAGAGAACAACTACAAATCCTGTCAATAGACAGTACAAATAAAAAATATATAAAGTAGACAAATTAAAAAGTCCCGTACAGATCAAGGTTATTTAAAAACTACCCAAAAGAAAGAACAATTTTGCAAAACATAAATAGATATATGGTAACTGGTATAATAATATTTAAATTATTCATATCATGTTAAAGTTATTTTAATCTGAAATCAAATGCTTTGGTTCTTGTTTGATCAAATTTGTCTTCGTCAGTTTATCTTCTTACAAAGCTATTCTTTCACTCTTTCAAGGCTTTAGCCTTGGTTTCTTATTGTCTATAGTCTTGCTTTGTAGGTACATTTCTTTCTTTAACTATTTCAAACTGTCACGCACATGGAAAGATCAAATGTAATCCAGCCACTCTTTCTTTTTTATGCTTCACATACACATGCGTCTTTTGCACTATTCTGTCTTTAAAATATTCCAAAAATCATCTACGTGTAAGTAAAAGAGGCTCACGTTTTGAGTTTTTCACTAACCGGGCTGACAACTAACTAAGATGATCTTTGAATTTTTCAGATATTATCTCATGTAACCTATGAAAGAAATACGCACTCGCTATTATCTCCACTTCTTGAAAATACCTCTTAACAGGCTTACTATCAGCAAGTGGTATTTTTCAAGACTAAGGCTTCTATAGGCTTGTATTCATCAAAGTGTTTCGAAATATATTCAGGATATCTCTATAAAATGTGATAATGTGGGTTGGATCTGGTTTGCATAACTATTGAAAAAAGTGTTTTGATGTGCATTGTAATACTTTGCGGATATTCTTACTTGATAGTGACAATAATGTCAAAAATAAGTTCAGAAAAATGAAATTCGTATCGTACTTTTTGGACTTTATTTACTAAATTAAATTAATTTTGTTTACTAAAATTATAATAATATAAATGTCTTGTTTTAATAACTAAGTACATAATATAATTATTTGACTATTTTATTTATAATAAATATGATTATAATTATTCCGATAACGGATACTTTTATATCATTTTTTTATGGTTCTCTGATGATACTATATTTGACATAATTTGCGTTATAGTATTACGATTACAGTATTTTAATAAGTTTTATTTTTTACATTTAGAGACATCAAACAGTCGTACATAAAGCTTTACTTAATTAAAATAATGTAACATATTATAAAAATGTTATGTTAATATTTTAAATTTAGCATGTTTTTATTCTTAATTATTCATTACCCCTTGATATTAAGTATAATTTGATTAGAAGCATATAGAATAAAGAAACTCGCATACATACCTGCATACATTATTCCTAAACATAATACACTCTTTTTTGGATCACAAAATAGTATTCAAGCAAGTTAACTCTTCAAAGCCTATCGTTTTCATTGAATCTCAGCTTTGTTGTTATTGTAAATGTTTTGTCAGGGTTCACTACAAGATTCTATTTATAAAAGCACCAAATTTTAGGTATTCGTGGCATCCCTTTTAGATAGTTAACGTCATACGTAGATAATCGATGTCAAACAGTGAATTTGTTCTGCTGTATCTCTATGAAAAATCAATTTCCTCAAGAGTCCCGATAACCTCTTTTATACATAGTAAAATTGAGTTGAAGGCGTATACGCAGACAAAAGAACATACTTTGCCCAGTCAATGACATATCTATCTTAATGTACAGGACAACAAATAAGACCTAATCCGTTGCGTATAATAAATAAAGTTTAAATTGTAAAATGTTGCTTGCCTTCAAAACGATAGATAGATGTATAATCATAATCGTGTGATATGGGGCATCGGAGGTTTGCGCTTTTTTAAAAGAACATAAGAATCAAACGTTGGTGTGCAGGTGGCGCTGCTGAGCGGTGCAGATGCAAGCACGTGTGAGGTAGCATTCCAGTACGGACGGAACCTCGGGCTCTCGTTTCAACTGGTCGACGACCTGCTGGACTTTGTATCTTCCGCACAGGCTATGGGTAAACCCACTGCCGCTGACCTCAAACTCGGCCTCGCTACCGCACCTGTGCTCTTCGCATGTGAAAAGGTAATAAATAGTCCATCATCGCAAATCAAATCTCAAATTAACCATTCCTGATAGGATAGTAATAATAAGATATGGTTCCATTAATTGCTTCAATGTTTACTTAACTCGTGCTCGCTACTGCAGCGTTGTTGAATTCTTTCAACGCAATTGCGTATCTGAAACATGTCAATTATGTTTAATTAGTCAATAATGACCAATATTTAAAAAAATACTTACTGTCGTTTTAATTTTATAAAATTATTTTTTTTTTCTCAATACTGAACCGTATTTCTTCACTGCCATACATCAGTGATCGTATTTTGTAGACTATATGGTTGTAATCTTGCACGACGATATTGCAGTACCCGGAGTTGAACCCGATGATAATGAGGAGATTCCAAGAAGCGGGCGATGTGGAGAAGGCGTACGAGCTAGTGCACAAGTCGCGGGGGTTGGAACAGACACGATTCTTAGCGCGCAAACATGGCGCGGAAGCGACGCGTCTCGCTGCTGAACTTGGGGATTCACCGTACCAGAAAGCGCTCGTCGTAACCACCGATCTAGTACTTAATCGGATTAAATAGCACCATACCCGAGCGAGAAAACCTACTTCGGATGTTTCCCCCGATCTTTGGACTCGTCCGTCGATTGCCTTTGTGCGCCCGAAGTACCTCTCGCCCTCCCCCGGGTTAATATGACGGTTCTATAGAAGTGTTCGTAGTATCATCATATTGTGTAGCGCCTTCAAGCGAAGGGACGCTTTTTTTAGGTTCTTTGGACTCGAATTCCGACTCGCCTGAAATGTCTTTCGGCTCTACCCTCCTCCATGTGTGAGTGCGACTATTTCGAAGTGTTTAAAGCGTTACTGGTTTATATAGTGAAACGACATCTAGAGTTTTGAAATTGAAAGCGCACTGAAGATTTTGTTCAGAATTAAGCGATTCGAAAATATTAAAGTGACGTTACTTTTAGATAATATTCAGCCTTCCAATTCATAATTGTTTTGTCTTTTAAGTATGCAGAAGTTATTTGTAATATAAATAAGAAATTAAATATTAAACTCAAATTCCTTTTTATTATGAATGCTTTCGAAGTGGGCTTTACTTTTAGTGAGACTTGTGAGAGGGTCAGTCTGTTCTCGGCATATAGCATGGCGAGTCGGCACGTTGATATATTTTTATGACAAGTAAAAAAAATATGTGCCCTGATATTGTTTATATTAACGAATTATATATCCTATATAAATATATAATTATGTTATAATATTATCGTGGATCAGTTCGACTGAATGGTTTCGCGTGGCGTATCAAAAGTTTATTTATATTATATAATTATGTACGTACGTTTAGTATTGTGTATAGTCGTTTACATTATTGATGTTTGTACTCGTTTTTATACATCCCCTCACTTGTGTGACCTGATTTAATTTAAGATTTTCCACGAAAGTATTTTGGTAACCGTGAACTGTAATGCGATTGCAAGGAATCGTTGGGCGCTTCGTCACCAGGAGTCCAAACACGTTAAAAGGTCAACGGAAAAATAACTTCATAAATCCATTTAACTGGTGCAATGTAATTAAGCTATCCTTTTCACATATATAATAACATATGTTTCCCTATGATTTCCTTATCTATGGTCTTCCTTTGACGTAAAGCGTGATTGGATTCCATATACCGCTGTTACGTGACGTCACCGCTCATCTTCTCTGCGTGGAGGGTCAATATCGCGAAGCAGTTATGTACATATTATTATTTCTTACTTCACATTCTGAAACTATCGTTCTATGTTCCTCTATCTTCGTAACGTGCAATCTTGTAGGCATAGCGTCAGAAAGTACCTGTGTAAGTGCACATATGAACTTTCGTAATACATCACAAAATTATCGAATTCGCGAACCATTTATTGTTCGTGCCAGCCTTTTTGTTATATTTTACGCTGTGTAAATATTGAGAGTCATTGGATAAGTTACCCGTGTTTATTTTCGAAACCATTTACCTCAATTTCTTTAGTGTACTCGTTACATACTATATAGAGGTGTATATTCTGTTTAGTTTTAAAATTGTAAGTGTCGTATGAGGCCACACAATATTTAGGCGAAATTTGTAACAATTCTATTAGATAAATTAGATTTTAGTGTTGTAAATATAAAAACGTCATATTGTTCAGTTTATTAAGCGACATAGTACAGTTGTACCGATATTGTACGCACCAACAGCGTTGTATTTCTAAAACGTTTTTTCTTGAGGTTCATATTATTATTTAACAAAATATTAGTCATTAATAAGTTAACGCTTAGAAGGGCGGACATAATAACTGACTAAGGACTTTCTTTTGTAAAACTTAAAGCCTTAAACAAATGGCTATTACGAATAGGTAATAAATATATATTTAAATTGGTATTTAATTCTAAATATTTCAGCTTAAAAGTACAATAACGTTAGTTTTGATAATTAATGTAATTACAAACTTATATTTTTTATACCAAATATTGTAATCAGAAAATAAAAATTGACTGTAGCACATATTGTTATATAAAAGGCTTATAGTCTTACGAATATTCTTTCAAGAGTTTTTTAAATTTATAATCGAAATTCTTGTAAAATTGAAAGTGTATTTTATATTGGTTATTCTGTCAGCCCGACAATAATAAGAGATGAAATGTATGTTTTGTACATTATAATATTAAAAATGGGAGTCAATGAATTTTATTTATATGTATGTAGACATGTACGTAGTTCATATTGTTTGTAAATATAATTACATTGTAAAATGCTAAATCATGAATCATTTTTAATATAAATATTAGTTACATAATATTGTTTTATTTCTTTTACTCTATCCATTAGGTTTGTGATTTAGATATTCATTATTTGACTTGTTTAATTAGATTAAATAGTAATTTTGAACATCAGACCTTACAAATACATTGGCAGAAATTTATAATAATAATATTTGATTAGGATAGGTTAGAAAGTTACAAACAACGTACGAGCCGAGCGAGAAAAGCGAGCGTGCCGCGGCAGCGGCCGGCGCAGTGCCAGAAGCGGATCGTTATTGTAAAATGACATAGCTAAAACCAATTTATGTTCAGTACGCGTAGTGGCTTTTTTTCAATGCCACAACGCGTTGAGGCCATATAGCATATCTGCCACGACAGGGATTTCGCTGTGGTTATTCTGCCAATGCCACAACGCGTTCTGAACTTTTTTTTTTGTTCAATGAGCGATTTCGGTTTTTGGGTAACAAACATTATATAATAAAACAACATATATATAATAAAGATTTTTAAGATAAGGCGGAGAGAATAGGAGAAAATGTATAGAATAAAGAATCGTAAGAGCATGCAAGTTCCTGCACCAGCGAATAAGAAACCATTGTAACTTAGATCAGAAGTGGTACACATGTCCAAACTTCCTAAGATTGAAAATAAATATAATACAGACATTCTGCAGACTCAAGTTTGTCAAGAAACCCCTTGGATAGATTCTTATAACATACGTTAGCGTAGTCAATGATAGACAACAAAAGAGAATGAAAACACCAAGGTGATTTTCGTACTAGTTGGCAGAAAATTGCGGCTTTAAAGAGTAATGATGATCGCTGATAACACCCAGGTTTGTAACTGTTTTAAAGTATGCAGTTAGGTCCCAATAAACGTTACAGAGGGCAGGTGATTACAAGAGGAGTAGCTAAAGTACCCTTATTATGGAGTATCCGTGACACAGATAACCTTTCCGAGACAACGAAGGTACCACAACATCCAGACCCGAGACAATATAGAAAAGTCAATTTTCTACATTGAGCTGACCCGGAAACGATTAGGAAGTCACAAGAAACTGGTCAAGCTTACCACATTTTAGCGTCAAACTGCTGTACTTCCATACATAAAAGGTATTACAGATAAGATTGGAAGGATTTTGAAGCGAGCTTCTATCAAGACTAAGCCGCGGAAGAGAATAAACCAATTCTTAAGACCTGTCCAGTGTAATATCCTCTTTCAAGTTGCAGATGTATCTCATATATCTGGCAGACTAAGGGGAGCATAGGACTTCGCGTTAGAGAACATGTAGCTGACGTTGAGCATAGGCGCGAAAATAAATCTGCAGTGTTTGAACATGCGTTAGGATGGCCCAGATGATTTTACAAGCCAAAAATACTTGCGATTAAACAAAAATTCATCCCTAGAATGAAAGGCGAGGCTACTAAAATTATAAAAACATACGAATTTTAATAGAAATATTCCACTCACTGGCTTGATATCCAGTAATCTATACTATAATAAAAACGTAACCGATCGATGTCTGTACATTAAAGATACGTGAAAAAAACTGTTATGAGATGCATTTATAAACGTAACAGAACACAAAACAACGATTATTATTTTGCTGAACCGATTTTTCACTATTGAATTGTGGTAACCTTACGTTAGTAGCTCGGTGCCGTAGTGGATAAGCGCCCTGGCCCGCGATCGTAGTCGTTAAGCAACTTTCGCGGGGGTCGGTTACGAGATGGGTGATTGTGAAAAATTATTATCTTGAGCTAACGGCACGTTAAGCCGTTGGTCCCGGCTGCATTTGCAGTCGTTAATACCCTCCAATCCGCATTGGGCCAGCGTGTGGGGTCATGGCCCATCCTCCTTAACCATCCATAATTAAGGTCTGAGCCCCAGCAGTGGGGATGTAAATGGGCTGGCCAGTAGCGGCGTAAGGGTAGGGCGCGGTTGGGCGACCGCCCAGGGGCGCCGGACCAAAAAGGGCGCCGCAGGCCACGGCGCCCTTTTTTCGTCCGGTGCTTCTTTCTGATTCTGTATAATGAGGAAATATTTAAAAAAATGAAAGCACTCCAAAAGTACCTCCACTAGATGGCGACCCTAGCAAAAGTTGATTTTTGCAGGAAACGAATGGAACAAAGACAATTATTTCCGTTCCTTCTAAGTAACATATTAAAAAACTGAAATTTGAAATGTTCGAAACTTAGATATCAATACAAATACGAAAAAGTACAAATAGAATATGAGTTGTTAATTGAATTTTGAAAACTAATTTACTTTTAAACATAGATAACTGGAAAGGTTGTCATGGATAAATCAAGAACGTACCGTAGCGACATCTAGTTTGATTTCGGGAATGTTTTTTTTCTAATACTTCCTCTTTTCGAAATAGCAAAATAATTGATCATATAATAAGTAGTGGCCCACTGCAAACTCACTGTCACAAAGTTACAACAATTACACAAAGTTTTACATAACGATTATTTGACACCCTGTTAGGGTGTAACAAGGGTAAAGAGTCTGGACCCAATTTCAATAATTAACCTGTAATTTAACATCTTATATACTTTAAGTATTAGGGAATGTGTAGTATAGATAGCAAATATTAATCTGTACTTACCTAATGATGTGATCCGTATGATACTTATACCCTATTTATATATCTATTTTTTAAATAAAACTAATATCGCTCTATAGTTGGAACAAGAGCATCGTAACGAAGCGTTAAACGTTTGATTACTGTGTTTGTTTGTTTTAAAATAATCGAATAATTGTTTAAAGAGCGTCCATTTATGACAAGCATGAAGATGATTGTTGATTGGGTTCTGCTTCGTCAAAAATTAAAAGAGATAGATCTCGGGAATCTCCGATTATAGAAAAACACATTGTTTCTGTATGGTCGGAAAGTCGGGGATTCCCGAGAAATTAAACCGATTAAACACTACGTTCCACTCTAATGCTGCCAACTTAACAATCTATCTAAATTTAGGGAAAATTACAATTAAGTAGGCCGGGTCGGCGAAAAAAAGACAAGTAACTGATTTGTAGTATGTAGTAGTAATTGAATTGCAGTTAGGGGGCGCCGAAGAAATTCGCCCCTGGGCGCTAGTAGTGCTAAAACCGGCACTGGGGCTGGCAATGATTTCGTTAACATTTAGTGTAAGTTTTATTTCAATCGGTTCATAAATAAAAAACGTTATATCAATTGAAGTACTGTGAAATCAATTGCTTTATTAAATTTAAGTCTCTAATATATTGTTTATCATCGTCAGCTCTTTTACATCCCCATGCTGTGGGGCTCAGGCCTTTATTTAATAATTTTCCACCCATCCCGTAAACAACTCATGCGAAAATTGCTTAACAATAAGAATCGCAGGTAGTGGCGCTTATCCGTTGTGCTACCAAGTTACGTATTGATATTGCCTGTAAAATTATATTTTATATGAATATTAATAAAAAAGTATTTTTTTCAATATTTTGGATACCTACTGCAAGTGTAATGTAAGTTGATTTCAATTATACATATATGACCATTCATATTAAATAGGGTGAACCCTATTAAATATTATTGATCATATATAGGTATTATAATAAGCTGATGCTTACGATCACGCGAGTAGGAGATCAAGCGAAAAGAGCCTTGCGCTGCTACAATTAAGCCTCGAATAGTTTATAGAGAACACGTGTATAAGGTTTTAGATAGTCAATTCTTATCAGATTAGGTTTAGCAGAGTTGGCTGGCAGCCACCTCTGCATTGCAGGGCCTCACCTTTCTGGGAGAGGCCCTTGATAGGCCCCGAGCCTCTGCATCTACGATGGGACCAATGGTCCAATACTTTAGTGTCCTGGTGACTCGGCTGCAGCTTGGTGGGTTCACGAAGAAGAGTCCTGCTAACTCCGTTCGTTGCCGGGTCTGTTACTCAAAGCCAAAAGCATTTCCTCGACGTTAAAAAAGTTAAATTCACGTCTCAGCAGATACTTTCACCAAAAAGGTACATAAATTGTAAGAATGCCTTGAAAAAAGGCCAAACCTGCAAAACTATTAAAAGGAGGAGATCCTGCAGCGAGACGTAGGAAATTTTTAATTTTTATAGAAACTTTGGCTAAGCATGAATCTTAACTGGGTTTACACCGTTCTTGAATGAGTGAAGACAACTCAAGTTATACCTATCAATTTTTTTTCTCTAGATAGTCTTTTACTCTTTTTGTTTATTTTTACATTCAAATCGCTTTACTTTTAAGTTGGCATTTGCAGTCTTCACTGGAGATACAGGTTTTTTCACTGGTCATGAGGCTCATGCAATATTACACGAGTCTGAGTCAGTGCAAAATTGATGAAGCTCAGTCAAATTGAATCTGGAGCAGTCATTGTTAGGGAAAATATTTTGAGCTCTCAGAGCTCATACCTACAGCAAGCGTTTGCTCTCAGAAAACTCCTGAAGATAACTTAGCACGTCTAACTGCTGTTCGTAACACATATGCAGTATTGTTTGAGTCTAAAACTTTATTTGATAGAGAAAGAGCTCGACCGTGCTCTTAAAGAGCTTGGACTGCGAAAGTAGTTTCTACTATACTATCGCTAATCAGTGTTGCCTTCAACCTTCCCTTACCCCATAACCCAGATAGTAATTTAAACTTGTTTCAAAAAAAGAAGGCTTGCTTCAAGTTTGCCATGACAACTGCAGCAACTTGCAGTAAGTTTAAATCAAACTTTCTAGTTTCAGTGTGACCATGCTGGAAAAACTATTTGTTAAACAACCGAGGCTGGTCAATAGCTCTACGCCACTGCTACTTCACGACAACGCTAGACCACACACTGCACAACAGACGACTACCAAATTAGAAGAGCTTTAATTGGAATGTCTAAGACATTCAACGTACTCCCCGGACCTTACTCCAATAGATTACCATTTTTTTCAAAATTTGGATAACTTCTTGCAAAGGAAAAAATTCAACTCTAATGCAGCAGTGCAAATCACCTTCAAAGATTTTATTGATTCCCGTCCGAATGATTTTTTTAGTAAGGGGATCAATGAACTATCTATGAGATGCCAAAAGTGCATAGATAACAATGGTTTTTACTTTGATTAAATAAATATATTATATTAAAAAATATTCGACTTTTTGTTCCTCCCATACCAAACACCAATTTCATATATAAGGACCTAATATAAATGCGATGAAACCGTTTAAATAAAACAATAAAAGTGGATCATAAAACAATAAAAATATGTCAATATATTTTTCTTTCAAACGTTTTATAGTTACCTAATTGTAAATATACA